GGGGGGGGGGGGGGGGTGCGGACGGAGGAGGGGGACAGCACTTATTTTGCAAAGTTGGCAGCTGTCTTGCGGAGGGGTCTGTCCCCGCCGCCGCGCCGGGGTGACCCCCTCCGGGGCTCCGCGCCCTGCCCGACGCTCAGGGGCGTGTGGGGACCACGTTTGCTGGCGTTGTAAGTCAGGCGAAAGGATGCAGCGTTGTCCTGGGGACTGTCATCGCCAGCAAGACACTTCGGGCGAGGAGAGGTGGTGAGAGCGGGAGGAGGGTCGTGTGTGCTTGGAAGAGAATAACAGTAATAATTAATAATAACAACAGCAAAAGGATTAATAGCTAGAAAGTAATATTTTTTAAAGTCTGTCTCAGTTTCTTGATACTGCCGAGTTGCTGTGAAATGAATACAGGGCAAAACCCTTCGGATCATGAGCGAAATCCGAGGCAAAGTGCAGAACTGAATGTAGAGCACAGTTGAAATGAGGCGCTCCCTCAGTGAAAAGAAGGGGGCAGAGCGAGCAGATCTGGGGACGTTACAGGAATTGACAAATGTGAAGTCTTTTATTTGATAAAAGAACGGGTTGGGGAGTACTGGAGGAGGTGGAAGTAAGAGGGTAGGCGTATAGGCATTTTTACAGGAAAGAAGTTGGGTAATTGCAGAAAGCATCACTGAATTTGGTGATGTAGTAAATGTTTCTAAGGAGCTGGTAACATACTTTCTGTGTCAGCTAGGTTGAGCTATTTATGTATTCATATGTATGTAACACTACTTACATGCACACACAGGGAAAACAGTTTGCTTACTACATCTGTGTATTCTTATGCAAAAGGTTGAGTCAAGAGATAAGCAATGGCAGTAGAGGTCAGTGGCTGTGGAAAGGAGTCCTGTCACTGCTGCAATAAAATACATATTTTACGGAGAGTTAAATGCAGTACTTTTTAAGTGCAAGTGGATAGTCACCTAAGTAACTCCTGATGACATTCAAGGTTCGGGAAGTTTAACGACGGAAATTACTGCCAGCACGATGGCACAGCCACTACTTTTATACAAATCGAGAAGATAGGGCACCTTTTTCCTTTTACTTGTGTGTGGTGGGGGATTTTAAAGTTCTGTTTGCAGTGCATGAGAGATTGAATAGCACAAATTGCTTACAGAGTGTAAGGTCAGTCCTTTCTCCAAATTTACTGTTCTTCTAGCACAGCTGGAATAGAGAGTACAGTTCTTGTCTATTCAAAAATCTCTGAGGCTGGAATGCACATCCTACATGTGTACCTCATGAGCTACATGCATGAACATTAGCGCAAGGAGAACATTACAATCAAGAGCAAGGTTATTTCCATTCCCTTTTGTCACAGGACCGTGTGTAGTAGCATTCTGGAAATGACATAATTCCAAGGGAATAAAATTGCTTGATCGTGCAGACCTCTTTGGTTTTAATCAAAATAGACATAGCTCTCCCAGTCAAGATAAAGGCTTATCTCCTGTATTTGCTGGGCTGAAATCTCTATTATGCAGACAGTTCTTTGCAAAAGTACTTAAAACATTCCATAAAACTGATTAACATCTGTTCCTGAGCAATATAATGCTATGGGTAATGGTGCATCCCTATTCATTTCTTTTTTTCTAATTTCTGTTTAAAGGCAATAAGTTTGCATGTCACAGGAGAGACGGGTAGGGCTCGAAGGCTTGTGATCAAGATTAAGTAGATTCCTTTATCATGGATATATACAGTTTTAAAGGCCTGGCAGCAATGACACAATTGGATAGCTCCTTTAAAGAGCCCAAACATGCTAATAAAGACTGAAATCCTGAATCTCTTTTCCCTCTCCTCTCAGATATTATCTGACACAGCACCAGTAAATATATAATCTCGTATGCTTCTGCTGCACCATAATCTTTCTGGACATATTTCTAGTGGTTTGCAGTTGACTTCTGAGCTGGGGGAGGGAAGAGGAAAGCAGCCAGTCTTTTCAGAATAACGTAATCAGAGCAGCAATACTTTTTTTTGCCTTTTTTTTTTTTTTTCCCAGGGAAAATGGCATTGATTCAGTCCTGTTGTAGCCCTCTGCAATTATCCTTTGCAGTCATTTAAGTAACTGGGGTCCCCGTAGGGACTTATTAGTCCCTCTAGGTATTTTAGTTTTCACACCAGTTCACAGCTCTTGCATATCTCCATGCCAGCGCTGTAAAGATTACATTTATAGACACGGTCATCATTCTCTAACCAAGTTGTTCAGCTAGAAATGTGCATCTTAACTTCTGACTCTTCTCTCCCTCCTTCCCTCCCTTCTTCCTTTGCACAGCTCTTCCATGCAAACAGTAACCTGCCGCTCTTCCATAAAGTTTGCATTTTGCCATCTGCTGTTTCAATAATATTTAGTTGAGAGACTTCCTTCAAAGCAAAACATACACGTGTTAAAAAAATGTGGTTTTTTTTTCCCCCCCTGCTTTCTGCAGAAGATCTCAAAACTAATGTGAACTTGATAGAAGTTAGGACTGTGTCTGTGCTCTCACCAGCTGAGATCATTCTCTAAATGAGCAGCCCTCTTCTCAAGGGCACATTGAGTTCCTCTGGGCAGGAGCCTCCTTCCAGATCGCTGTCCCCTCAAGTGTGCTACATCATTTTTGCTTTGACTGAAGAAGTTTTCAGCACACTGATATGCTGCTTATTAATAGAATCCTGCAGTATTTTGGGGTTTGGAAGGAATCACTGCTGGTTTTTCTAGTGGATGCTTGTGTGCTGTGTCAAGCAACATATCTGTAGTTAAATGAAATGATGGTCTCTGTCTCATGTTTAACTGAACTTTTCAGTGTGTCACCTGCCCTTTGTTGACTACTTTTAAATTGTGCTACCTTTCTAGTACAATCTTGCACCATTATGGCTCAAGATGTGCAGGAAATTACTTATGGATCTCCTTGGAAATGGTGGCTAATTACTAAAATGAAAGGTAGCTGAAATCTATAAAAAAGAGTGGGTAGAATGCATTTGAAGCAGCAGGCCCCACTGTGATGGTGCCTCATCTTACATAATGGTTACAATTCCTCTAGTGGCTCTGCTGCAATTATACCAGAATGAAGTCGAATTGGTTTTCAGTATCTTTTGATTATCATAAGCATGCGGGAAAGGCTTTGCCTTGGAAGCTGGGTGTTAGGGAGACTTCTCCATTAACCCCTTGAAGACCTAGTAAGCTGCAGTAACTGTTCATGTGTCTTCAAATGCTTTGCATCGTTTGCGGTTTACTCCTTTTTTTAATTTTTCTTTTTCCTATATAATTTCTTGGGTTCATAGCTCTTAGAAGCAGGGCTGATAAACTCAGTTGTGGTTATCCTGACTGACATGGTGGGGCCAAATTCAGGATCTTTTCAATGTAAATCTTTAAAATGAGTCCTCCATCCTGTGCACAAAGTGAAGAGTTCTGTGGCACACAGAGTGAATCTCTTCTGCTGGCTTTATGTAGGATTCAGTTTGCCATATAAACATCATTCTCAAGTTTAAATGTGTTCTGGTTGAGATAAAAATCCAGTAGCAGGTTTGCTCATGCTGCATGCTTAGTCATGGCAGACCTTTCCAAGGGGTCTGAAAAAAACTATGCTGTGTGAGGAAAAAGGTATGGCATCTTGCCTTGTTTCATTTGGGATGGGGAGAAATGAGATGTAACATGAACATTTAGTATTAAATGCAGCTTTTAGTTGTCTTTATTGCTTAAGAAAAGCTACTGGACAGATTATTAGTCTCTGTTTTAAAATCACCCTTGAAGAATGCATAATTAATACAAAACATCAGCAGAAAAAGTCATCCTCTCTGAGTTGTGCTGAGTGTTGCTGCAGTGGAATTAGGTGAGGAAAGTGCTGGATAAAAACATTTTGAAGCTTTGAGTGTGAGTACTTCATATCCAGTTGGGCTTTCTATGCCGTAAATCTCAGCCTAAGAACCACTTTTTGGTTTTTCCCCAGTGACTGGCTGTAAGTCCACCCAGGCTTAGGTTCCTGAGCTTCCCTAGAGCACTGCTGTGTGTCCTAATCCTGATCACCCCATTTCAGGCAGGCTTATCCCCCTTTGTACCCATGACCATCTCCTTATTCCAGGTGGGGCTGATTGCCACCATTGTCTTTCACTTCATTTATTTTCCTAATTGTGCATTTGGCACTGAATGGCCCAAACAAAGACTGTAAATATTTGAGTTTATGCTTTTGTTTGTTTGTTAGCAAGAGCATTCCCAGAAGAAAATAGGATGACTGAATTTCAGGAGTGTTTATAGAGTGGTGTGAATTAATGTTACCAGTTGGTACATCCAGTCTCCTGGAGCTGACTGCTCCTTGAGTATTTTTCTCTCTCAAAACAAACCAGAAAGGATAGTTTCCTCTGCAGCGGCAACCCTCTGAGCAGCAGTGAGGATCAATGCTGATGGGGAGAGGTGAGGGGAGACTGTGAGCCCTGTCAGGATGGAAAAGGCTCAATTGGCATGGTGTCCTGCCTGAGTTAGGATGCTGGACCTCCAAAAAGAGTCTTTAAGCAAAGAAATGATTGCTTAACTGTGATGGTGCCAGAGCACTTGATAGCACCATGCTGAAACATCCAAGACAGAGCGATCTTTCTTCACACCCAGCCACAAGACACCCTCTCCATACCCTCCTCTGCACCAGGTGCACAGACAAAAAGTGCATATACATTTCCATCTGGTCTCATTCAAGAGCACTGCCAGCCTTGCTATGTTTTAAGTAACCTGTTCAATAAGGGCTTTATTCTGGCATTGTGGGCAAATATTTTATGGGTTAATTAGCCTGTCTTGTCAGGATATATGTATATGTTTATATATAGTCAGAAAATGCT